CCCAATTACTATTGTAGTTTAAAGAGGGGTTTTTTTTTATTTTCATTAGTCATCAATTCACTCAACTATCATCATTTGCATTTTACTAGTTTTTCTAAATAATTTTACGTTACTTTGTAGTTGTTTTATTATTTGATTTGTTTTTGTTTTCTGTGCGCCGAATTGTCGTCAAGCTAACCTAACAGTCGTATTCTGTCTCACCCTCTTGATTTTATTGTTGTTCATTGTGTAGTTATTCCGGTCATGTATACAGATATAATTATAGTATGTCGGAAAATACAAATAAATTTATGGCAGAAAAAAAATTATAATAAACAGTATATGGCATGCGTTTGTAAATAAGTATTTATATAGACTTAGCTTAAGGCGGAACTTGGTTGTTGTTAGTGGAAATTTGAGAAAAGAACTTTTCATTTTTTTATTTTTTTTTTATTAAATTAAACCAAAGTGCTTTTAGGTATCATTTTTTTATCATATTTGAAATGAAACTATTAATACGATACCCGTAGGGAATGTCAAACTTTCCGAGTGTATTTCTGCTCCTCATAAAAATCCATTAGCTGTTCGTAGGCTGAAAAAGCTGTGACCTACAGCCTACATTTGTGACATCAAAACACTGTCCGAAAATTGGAAGAAAAGCGCGGTGGATTATTTAATACTGTTTGCACTAACATACTCTCTCTCTCTCTCTCGCACAATCAGTCCTCGCAGTATACCTAAAATTATATTTGAACTCTGTATCGGCATTCGCTTCACCAAAATTTCCTAAAATGTAAATTATGTATAAGAGTTGTCAAAATACTTTCACTTCTTATTATTCGATAGTATGTATAAATATATATATTTTTTTATTTTTTTGACGTATATAATTTGATTTTAATTCATTTTTTTCGTGTTTAATTTTATTATTTTATTTCATTTTTTTAAATTAAAGCAAAAACTTTTTTTTTATTTTAAGTAATTTTATATTGGTTTAAATGCTCTTATTTTTTTCATTTATTTTATTTTTAAATAATTTTTTCCTATATGTTTCATTCTTTTTACTAATTTATATTTTATTTTCGTTGTTTCTTTTTATTTTATTTTATTATATTTTGCTTAAAATTATTTTATTTCATTTTTTTATATTAAAGTAAAAACTTTTTAATTATTTTAAGTAATTTTATATTGGTGTAAATGTTTTTATTTCTTTCATTTAGTCTTAGTTTTATTTATTTTTTTATTTTATTTCATATTTGTTTCATTCTTTTACACTAATTTATATTTTATTTTCGTTGTTTCTTTTAATTTATTTATATATAACAAATTTTATATATTATGCTTAAATTTATTTTGTTTCATTTTTTTAATTTTATTTCTATCTTATTCATTTTGATGTTAGTTTATTTTAAATTATGTTCATTAAATATTTGCTTTTTATATTCTCTTTTATTTTATTTAACTTAATTTCAAATTTGATTTAATTTTGAGTCCATTTAATGTTTTTAATTTAATTTAATTTTTTTGGTTTTTTACATATATTAAATAATTTAATTTTTCCCTCGTTTTGTTATTTAATTTGAGTTTTTTATTTTATTTTACTAATTTCTTTTTAATTTTATTCCTTTCATTTTATTATTATTCATATATTTATTTAATTTAATTTTTTTTTAATCTTATTTTATTTTATTTTTAATTTAATTTCGTTTCTATTTTATTTTAAACTTTATTTCAGTTTTAATTTAAATTTTTTTTTAATTTAATTTTTAATTTAATTTTATTTTTATTGTTTTTTACTATATTTAATATAATTTAATTTATTTTTCCCTTAATTTTTTTATTTAATTTGAGTTTTTTGTTTTATTTTACTAATTTCTTTTTTATTTTATTCGTTTTATTTAATTAAATTTTTTTAATCTTATTTTATTTTTTGTTTATTTAATTTCGTTTCTATTTTAGTTTAAACTTTATTTCAGTTTTTATTTAATTTTGATTCTATTTAATTTTTTCAATTTAAATTCTTTTTTTATGTTTTTTTATTATATTTAATATAATTTAACTTAATTTTTCTCTCGTTTTGTTATTTAATTTGAGTTTTTTATTTTATTTTACTAATTTCAATTTTATTTTACTTTTTTTATATTCATATATTTATGTAATCTAAATTTTATTAATCTTATTTTATTTTTTATTTAATTTCGCTTCTATATTCATTTAATTGCTTTTTGGTTTTCTTATATTATATACAATATAATTATTTTTTACTTATTTTTTTTATTTTTTTTTATTTTGTTTTATTTTATTTTTAGTATTATATTTTTCTTTTGTTATAACGAATTGTATTTTATTGTATTGAAATTAATTTACTATTTTTTTTTCTTATATTTAATATAATTTTATTGTATTTTTAATTCCATTTTGTTATATTTTGTTATTTCGGTTTTTGGTTTATATTTTTTTATGGTTTTCATTTCTTAATTTAATTTGAATTTTCTATTTTTTATCCAAAATATTTTATTTTATTATTATATTTTGTATAGCATTTTATTTTTGTTTAAACTTTATCTAAATTTTTATGTAATATTATTTCGGTTTTATTCATAACAAATCAAAATTGACTTCTAAGACAACTTTTTCCGGGCCAGATGCGTATGGGTCTCTTCATCAAATTAATTGTTTCGCTCAAAGTTTTATTAAAATTTCAGCAAACTTTATTTATTTTCATAACAATTTGTAAAGTAAACCTGACCACTCTCAAAGAATTATTAAAATTTTTATGATTTTTGAATCTAATTTGTGATTTATTATTTTATCGAACAAACTGATTACTGCAAAATGATTTATTATGTAATCGATAAATAATTATTTCTTATTGATAAAATTTTATGGGTTTTTATTTTGTTTTCGATGAAAATCTTTTTGATAAGCCAGAGTTAGATTGGACCAAAAGTGATTAATCATGCAATTTATTACCCTTCTTTGCTTTTCTGGGCAAATTTTCATTAACTAAAATCTCATAACCAATAATGTTTTAAAATTTATGCATACATCTGCATATTTAAATATGTATATACAAAATTTTCATACCCCCAATGCCTTCCTACGACGCATATTTTTATCTTCACTTAAAACGCAAAAAGCTTTTTGGTCAAAACAAATATTTAATCTAATTTTCAGCTTAATTAAGTTTATCAAAGCATTAAATACAATATAATTTGTTAATTAGATTAAAAATGAACGAAATGAATGTTCACGAAAGAAAATTTAAAGGCATTTCGGCATAACTTTAATTATTAGAAATTATTTCGAATTTTATTTATATTTCGTGGAAAAAATATAAGCATACAAATATGTATATTGTATGTACATAAAAATGTATTTATGATTTACTAGAAGACCGCGGTCATAAGCTAAAGAGGTCATAGGCAAGAAAGAAGAGGTGATAGGCAACTAATATCTACGATAGTTATATATAATATTTAAACCATATTGTAATGATTATTAATATTTTACGGTGTTGCCCTAATTTTTAATAACGTCACAGATTGCCAATGACTTACTGTGGAATACCTTAAATAAATTCTTTTTGAACCCATTTACACCTACTCTGTACATTCTTCTATAGAGAATCTCCCATAGATTCCCAATCGGTTTACTATCCGGTGATTGCGCTGGTCACTTAAGAGTATTAATATTTACAGCTGCGATCCATTTTCCTACTTAGCTCGCGGTGTGTTTTGGGTCGTAATTGTATTGAAACGAACACGTAAGTGGAAAATTTTACACGGTGTGGAGAATTGTCACGCCCTGAACAATATCCTTATACATAAACTGATATATAAATCTCTTTATTTTATGCTGAGGTCCGACACCAAACAACAGAAAATATCCCCTTGTCATTATATAATCTCCGCAAAACCACAAATTGGATGAAGAGCCCGACCAAAAATCACTCCAGCAGTTTCAAAGCGCCAATTATATATACTACTCCGTACCGTTACAGTATCCAGGATCTAAGCGCTAATTGTTTAATTGGCAAACTTCTCGAATATTTCAAATTAAGCTGTATCTATCACAAATAATATGGTCTTGGTACAACTTAGGTCTCGATACTGTAGCAACATAGGTTAAACTCCTACCTATCCAGACTCGACCCCAGCATACCCAATGTATGCCTTGTATGTTGAGAGCCTCCGTACGACACTAATCACCACTTCACAAGCCCCCTTAAGCCGACACATCTAACCCCGCTCCCCTCTGGTCCAATCCCTTCGAAATAGCACGTTTCCTAGACCGCCCATTAGATGGCCTCGGCGACTAAGACGACCGCTAAAACAACAACAACAACAACAACTACAAATAATATGGTTATTTCATAGTTTCACTAAGCAGTTGACGGTTAAGTCAATTTTTCTGGAAATAAATTGCTTTTTGGCTGCTCTGTAACTTTCTAACCCTCCTCTTTGTTTTGTTCGCCTGCTTACTCTTACGATAAGGCGCCTTAACTGCGCTTAACACCGACTTTTCTGGATTTCTCTTTAAATTCATGAGTGTCTGTGTCAGTTCTCGTATCGTGTTGTAGCTTAGATTAACAGGAAGACTACTCTTCCCTCCGAACTAGTTAGTGGACTAGGACCGACCTAAACAAAAAATCGGACTTAAAGTTATTTTTACTTGAACTTTTTTTTTACGGTTGGGCCGATCTATTCTGCATATTCATGGTTCGGTTTGAATAAATTTTTGAATGATAAACGTAAATGAAATGATTGTGGTTTCTGAAAATGGACCAGAGAATAGAAACCAAGTTCGATTTGCTCAAAATAGAATATAAATAATACTCTACGGGAAAGAAGGGATTATCGACTCATCATCGTCTTCGTTGCAATGAAAGTAAATAACAAAAATAATTGAAAATAATGAATAATAAAATTCTTTAATTTGAAATTCTAAAATATATTCTCTACCTTAATAACCATTTTTATAATAAATTATAATAATTTTTTTTATTTATTTCCTTTCAGTTGCCGGTCGCTGATCCATTCCTGGAAAAAGTAAACCTCTCAGATTTTGGTAAGTCTCTTACAAATTGGCTTGAAAAATTAAAATTTATCTATGTAAATATCTACATATCTATGTTATATCTGAATTTTGAAATATATGTATATATGTATGTATGTATTGAGCAACATTGTATGCCCATTAGCATATTACTAAACTCGTTAAATTTCGCAACCGAAAAACCGAATAATTAGCACATGCATACTTATGTACATAGATACATATGTATGTGGAAATATGTAAATCTCGATACCGACTTGCCGTGCTAAAAACGACCAATAATGAAGTACGAGAAAAAATATTATAACAACGTTAATAAAATATGAAGAAAAAAAGCCGATTAAATTTAACGGTTCTTTTAAAACAAACTACTGATATTCACGGCTACATACATACTATATATATTATTAATTTAATTATCAACTAAAACCGCCGGTAGTACTGTTATAAATAATTATTAAGACATGCAAACGCATATATATATGAAGGTATATATATATATATAACACAAATTCACACATAAATATTTATTTATATTGTCATCAGTTAAATGCGAAAAATTAATTCTTTTTTTTTCATTTCTAATTCATATTTTTTATGCTGGCAAATTGTCAAAATACCAAAAATATGCGGCACACTTCTTAAAACGCTCGAGGTTTTGTTGTTAAATTTTCGATTTATAATTATTCCCATCCATCTACATTATTATTTTCTATGCCAACAACAACATACATGCTGGTCGATACCACGCGATCAAATGCTCTGGATAGAAACTTGTTCGAAACTAGTGTTGCAGCGAGCATTACCTAGTCCACAAGATTTTCAAATAATATTATTAATATTACTATTATTTTCAACGGCGCTTTACAGCCGCTGAAGCGACTTTCGGCCGAGCTTCTCCTCTAATTTGTGGTATAATACCTCTTGATGCTCTCCAACAAATGAAAGAACGTCCGATAGATTTTATTGGACGTCAAAAACACACTGGTTGAACTTAACCTTCTTTGCCGAGGGCCGACCGCAATTGGAAGAATTAATTTTCCATAGTGCGATCCAATGATCGAACCCTGACCACGAGATTTGCAGTGCACAATCACTAATTACTAACCGAGAAAAGTAATCCATTATTTTTTCAAACAATAGAAGACCTTATTTTCTTTAATTAGAATTATTCGATTCATGTCAAATATGTTTTGCTTGGTACTTTTTCCATTTTGAAGGTAATATCAAATAAACCCTTGTCCCTATTGGCAAAAAATTAAGTACAATCGATTTTCACAGTCTTCTCTCGAAGGAAATTCTTCACCAGCCAAATCATTGACCATTCATAGTAACCACTTGGTGCGAAGTCCAGGCTAAAAGGTGGATGCATAAGAACCTACTAACCAAGCTCTCGGAACTTCTGGCGAGTCACTGTCGGCGTGTGTGGTTTGACGTTGTCTTAATGAATGCACAATACGCCTCATATTGATCAAAGGTGTCCGCTTCTGGGCTATTTTTTGCTTCAGAAAGCTGAATTAAGAGTTTTGCCGTAGGGGAGCAGCTTATTGTTGATGTTTTCTTGACAGTGGGATCAACACTTTTCCTTCGGGGAAGTAGAGTTGGAATCGATTTATTAAAGAAATTGAATATCGATTTACTGAAAATTCCACAAGGTGTGCCAGATAGCGATCTTATTAAGACAAATATTTTGTCGGTTCCTTGAATTTTTGAGATCAAGCTCGATTTGTTCCGAACGGGTTTTCTTTTATCTAGATTATCATATACCACACTCTGTTCTGGGAAGGTGGCCACATATATTTTAATAGATCGACGAAAAACGATATGATTTGGATAAAAATATAGATCATACATAGATCGCTACGTTATTTTGCCGTAATGTGACTGCGGTGCGTTTTGACTTCGACGTTACGGTTAGATCCATATATTAAGTTACAAACCATGCTTGTTCGTACAACCTAAGCGTGGATCTATTAACTTGCATTCGACTTATATAAAGGAAGTCTTTGCTCAGGGACTTATCTCTCACTGCTGGCGTAAACGTACATCAATATTAATGGAAAACTTTGAGCAAAAGGGAAAAAGCAAGCTTCAAATATTGTACCACCTGTTCATCATTATTTACCTAGCACCAACATTCACTACCAACATTGATACCTTAATTGAACATTAACTTGTGGTCGTGATTTCTAGTAATTAATAATAAAAAAAAAAGTATGGCAAGTGGTCTTTTCGGATGAGTGTTGTTTTAGACCGCAAAGCACATTCTACATAAATAAAAGTTTGCCGCCCTTTTTGATGTTTGACTGCAGGATAATCATCTGTTGGCCACGGCGCCAATTTTTATATTTTTTTCTATTATATATACAGTGGGGAGCAAAAGTGATTCCACGATCAAAGTTTTCATGTTTGAGCTCACGTAAATATTAAACGCATAAAGTAAATGACAAAAACTTTTTCTTTGAATGAGAAAAAATAGAGTTTTAACGCCAAAAGAAGCTTCTAAGTAAATAAAGGCGTGAGTCAATGGACAGCTAGAAGAGCGCTTGGTAGGATTACGTACGTCGCAGCAGTGAAAGCAAACAATCCACTTTTATCCGAGAAAAATATTAAGGCTCGGCTAATAATAATAGAAGACTAGAAACGTGTTATTATCTGGCCGGACGAATCTAAGTTTAATCCTTTTCAATCGGATGGAAAGCAATACTGTTGGCGGAGACCTGGTGACAAGCTTCAAAGGCATGATTCGAAGCAAATCGTGAAACATGGCGGCGGCAGCATAATGGAATGGGGGTGTTTCACGTGTTCTCATGTTGGACCATTGCACAAAATTAACGGGATTATGCGAAAGGAAGACATTTTGCATACCCATCTTCCCAATTTTCTTGACCTGCGTACCCAGAGCAGGAAATCACTTTTCAGCAAGATGGTGATCGCAAGCACACTGCGAAAATTCTAAAAAAAAAGAATGGCAAAGTGCCGATCTCAATCCGATTGAAAACCTGTGATCAATTGTAAAGCGACGGCTCGTATATTATAAATCAGCCACATCCAACTTGGGCGATCTTTGGGAGCATGTTGATCAAGAATGGAATAATATTCCGAAAGTAATTTTCGAAAAATTAGTAGAAAGTAAACCAAAAAGTATGAAAAATGTCATTGAAAACGTTGATCGTGGAATAACTTTTGCTCCGCACTGTACATATGTATATATGTTTTTTTTTTTGGCAGCTACAACTGGCAGTGCATAGTTTTCATTAATCTGGCTGCCGGGCAAGGCGTTGCATATAAATAATATTTTCATATGAGCATATACATACATATAAATAAATAAATATATATCTTTGATATTTATTTATATTTTATGAATGTACAATAAGCAATTCGTTTAAAAATTATCTATAAATAAATAATAAATATCGATATATTGGAAATTAAAGAAGTTGCACTGTGCGCCATGAAACTGAAAAGTGCGAGTAAATCGTTATACATATTTACGAGTATTTATGTTGCTAGCAGAGCAGCTCCCCCCTCTTTTTAGTTATATAGTAATATAGTATTATTCGCAAATAATAGCAAATTACAAATTCAAATAACAGTCTTTCTAGAAGTATACATATGTACATAGAAAATGTATGAGTGAATTTCGTCTTTTTTCCATTGACCTTTCTTCGTTAGAGCGCGCTTTAGTTTTATCAAATTTTATTTATTTTTTTTTTTTCTTTATTTTTTTTTTACTTTTTTTTTTTTGTAGAACGCTATTTATTTATTTTACGCTCTCTTCATCTGCCAGTTGGCGCATTAGCGTCTAATTTACCGATTTCATCTGTGTTATAAATTAATTAACATTGTTCTGGCAAACCCACAATTCGATGTGAACCCTTGGGCGGCATACCTCTAGTATTGAACGAAGCGAACAATACGAATGATTTCACTTCGCTACTGCTCAACACATTTAAAACTAAACTCTTTGCTGTATATATATCACTAATCTATTTTTTTATGTTTAGAACGCCCATAATTATAAAAAAAAATACCTTAACACCGCTAAGATAAACTTTTAGTTTGCAATAAAATAATAAAATATGTGCTGTATCGAAAATATGAGTGGCTGGTAATGTTTATTTAATTGTGTTTGTTTTTATTTCAATATATTAGCTGTAGTAAAAAGAAATCCATTATTTTTCCAATGGATCGTGTTATATATCTGTAGCTCGCGTTGTATAAATCCGATCGGCTACCACTATATGGCGTTCGCAAGCTAACATTTTGTACTAAAAAAGCTTTACTGACAGTTTTATGATTGGTTGATTCAGTTTTGTTTGAGCGCGTGACAAAGATGGACTTAAGCAAAGGGAAAATACGCTATATTTTATAGTTTTTCTTCGATAAGGGCGGAAAAGCAACCCAGGCGGCTGGAAATGTGGAAAGCGTTTATAGTTCTAATACTGTTACAGTCAATAATGCAAAATTTCGCTTTGATTCCGATAATTTTGATGTAAAAGATGCTTGACGGCGTGGAAGGCCAATTATCGAAAATATCGATAAAATCATGTACATCGTCTAGAACTTAAGATTAGCATTAATAATTAATTATTTATATTTTTTTAACGTAATAGCAGTGAAAAAATGTAAATAGCAAAAAATTGAACTTTATAATTACATTAAGCAATAAATTTATAGTTAAAATTGTATCAATTAAGGTTCTGGACATAGAAAATTTCATGATATTCAAGTAATGAGAAAGATTTTTGATTTCAGTCTACAGCAAGAGGCTGTAGGTTTGCAGGTGTTGGTTCTTTTTTTTTGCGCGCATTTTGAATTTCGACCAATTTTTTGTCATTTTAAAATCTCAAATAATAAACAAATTTATTAGTCGAAACCAGTAGTTCGTACGTCTTTACATTCTCCCACATAAAAAAAAACAAACTGCTGATTTTTGCCTAATATTAGGGGAGGGTCCCCTTAAAGCCTACAATTACATGCAAAAATAATTTTTCGTTTAAGAAAAT